TGAAAGTGGTAGGGCATCGAAGCGGTCAAGGCCGAAAAGGTCCGCACAACTATCGATATCGTCTAAGACTGAAAGGATACGGTCCTGAATCAGATCTGATGTATCGTGCCGACGAAGTGCCGCAATGCCACGAAATGATTTCCGCATACCGATCAAAACATGATCTGGACATCGCGCCCGCCAAGAAATCGTCCGAAGTACCGCAGAAAAAAGCGAAACGAAAACGCGACCAAGGGAGGGATCCGAGTACAAACAAACGCGCAAAGCACAATGCAAGGCCAGACACGTTGTGTCCCAAGCCAGTAAAATGCGTGAATAAGAAAAGTACTCAGCGGAAAAGTAAACGAAGTCCGAAGGCAAACAAAAGATACATTTCCAAAGTATCTAAACGGTGAAAGGAATAGCACCCAAACAATAAGGTTGCTATCCAGCATTTGGTTGGGTCAAATGCTGGCGAGGAAATGTCAAGTTAACCGGTCTCAAGTGGAATTGAGGGTCGCAACTCGATGACACTAATCATGAGTCACGGAAACAGTCTTAAGACTGTCGAACACCGTATGCCTATCGTACTCAATAAGCAACACGATTGCTTACACCCAGCGGTATGGTTACGCGAACCAGAACCCGCACAAAGTACAAATTCTTGATACTTAACAAGAATAAGCTTTGACACATCATTGATTGACATCAATACCTGGTAGCTTGTACGAGCCTTGGAGATATTAAATCCGTACGGTGTTGCTTCCAACACGTGTGTAGTCCACACGGCACTGTCAGCCGTCTTCGGATAGTGAGGGAGGGATTCAATTTTTGAAAAGCTGTGTTGGCATCCATGATACGTCCATACCTGCTCCACTACAACTTAACATTCACACATGAATGTACGCCAAAACCCAACTTCAACAAGCTGAGCTTTCGGCGAAGAAAAAGGGGGGCTATGTGGAGGTCAGGATATGGAGATTCAGGAAGCACAAACACACGTACACAAAGAGTCAGATCCAAGGGATATGTGATAATAGATCACTGTTGGTCCCAAGGGGTCATGACCCTACAGATTCCCAACGGCTGCGAATAGTTGATGAATCTTTAGGAGGATGGGGAAATGAGTCCACGAAGGCTCACCCACACTCTCCGCACCACCCTAGCTTGACTGAGTTCGCTCGGTCACGCTTGGCATTCCTCGCCACATTNGTTGGTCCCAAGGCGTCATGACCCTACAGATTCCCAACGGCTGCGAATAGTTGATGAATCTTTAGGAGGATGGGGAAATGAGTCCACGAAGGCTCGCCCACACTCGCCGCACCACCCTAGCTTGACTGAGTTCGCTCGGTCACGCTTGGCATTCCTCGCCACATTGCACCAAAGGAAATAGCCAACCTCCGGTGGCAGGACANGAAGGCTCGCCCACACTCGCCGCACCACCCTAGCTTGACTGAGTTCGCTCGGTCACGCTTGGCATTCCTCGCCACATTGCACCAAAGGAAATAACCAACCTCCGGTGGCAGGACATAGCCACCACAACCCCGGACTCTCCGCTCACCCAGAGTAGAGGGCATCCATACCAGGCCTACACTAGAACTTCACATAATAGCAGTGTCGATCCATTTCGTGCTACAGAGTAGTGTCGGGTGCCCGGTTTAGTGCCGGTGAAATCTCTCGACACATACAGTGCCGGAAAGTGTGAGACCGATTTTGGGTGCTTTGAAAAAAAAAATAACCTTCTTCAACGAATTGAGCGGAACCAAAATATTCGTGAGAAAGCTCTCGCCAGCAGCGATCGAATAAGACTATCCACAGCGCGGGGTTTTCGTTTTTGAGAAAGATATGGCTCCATTACCATCAATGCAGAAGGCACTTCATCCCACAAGAATCGCCATATCTCGATAACTACGGCGAACCCCGCGAAAAAAATTGCAGATTTGAAAAGCTCTCTTTCAGAAGTATTTTACTGCGGCGGAATCATCCCCGAGCGTGGTGAAGAAGAACTTAAAAAAAATCAGAACCAACATTTTCAAATTTTTCGCCCACATCAGCCCCAACGGCTGCCACACATGAAGAATTCGCGGTCCACGCCCATGGCTTTTAAGCTGCGCGACAAGCCTTTGGCGACCATACTAGCAACCTTGGCTCAACGTGGTGGTGAGCTGGTCAGTGTGCGTCAGGAGAAGAGTCCAAAGAAGTATCGTGTGGAACTGACGGCGCACGTGCATGGATCCGAACAGCGCTGGTGCAGCCCATACATCAAGTGTCCGAAAGGCAGAAACACGGGTCGCGACTGGGCGGCCGAGGACCGGTTTGCTGCTACCTGGCGGCCATCCTTCTCTAGCGGCAACGTTCCCCACACTGATGCATGTGCAGGCGAAGCCGAAGCTGCGCCTCCCCGAGAAAAGCGGCCGCGGGACTGTCGGCATGCTGCGGCATCCACGGAGGACGCACCGGCTGCAAAGGTCGGCGGAGCACGCCCTGGATCAGGCAGGCCAAAGGGAAGCTACGGCTGGAAGAGGGTTCGCGAGGCTGCGCAACAGCTCAATGATTATATCGAGCGAGGACAGCCCCATTGTGCGCTGATAGCCTCGCGCGATCTTCCTGGAGATATGTTGGACGCAGTGAAGGAGGTGCACCAGCACCAAGAGGTCTGGGGACCAGCGTTCCTCAAGCGCCAGAGCAACAGGGGTGTGGGCAGGAAGGAGGCTCTTCGCAAGCTGGCGAAGCATCGATCGCAGCTGGAAAAGGCCGCCGCAGCATCCGCTGCATGTAGATCGGGCTGGGAGCGGGGACAGGACTATTTCCGCGCCGTCATCAAGGAATGCCAATCCGCTGTGGCAGCCACGTCTGCTGGACTCAATGTAAGAGATGTTGGTGCCACAATGTACACGATACAGTGTAATGTTTGCATACGATGATTGTAGTTTTCCTCCTGCAAGACTGCTGTTGGTTGTGGTGCTATGTGGTTGTCGCAATGCTGCTGCTGTTGCTGCTGCTGCCGTATATATTTGATGCGATGCAGCCCATGTACATGTAGGTGAAGTTTCGCGTTACTGTTGGGCCGCAAGAACCACTCTGCCCCCACCCTCCTCTTTCTTCCCCGCTGCTTGTCCCGATCATCTTACCATGTTTTTGCTCCCTTTCCTACCTTACGTACATGCAGGAGTCTGTTCTCGTCTCGCACGCGCAAGCCGGCAGCCTGCAGTTCAAGGCCTTGGCTCTGAAAGCAGTGTACCACAAGCTGCTCAAGGGGGCGCCCAAGAGGCAAGCTTTCGAGGACACCGCGGAGTTTTTTGAAGTGGCGGACAGCACCCTCCGTGAGTGGGAGCTTTCCTACCGCACCAAGGGCCATATCCAGGTGAGAGGAGATATGTTCCATCCGTTTTAACCCGCAATAAAAGATGCGCGTGCCGTAGACTTTAGACTATGTGGCGATGAAAATAAAAGTACTGCTGTGTAGCTCAACAAACTCGCCGGCCGTTGCTGTGAAAGATACTCCCTCCTGTAACGCATGCGCTGTTGCTCTCTCTCCATCCCGCACCCGTGCATGCTTTTAAGCCACCCTTTCCCTTTTTCTCGACAATGCGGTGTGGGGTAGATCCAAGTATTGGGTCCGGAAGCACTGCAAGTACACCATCGCGTGCCTGCGGACCAACGTTTCTAAGAGCTACGCGGTGGCCGAAGACCGCCTGAGTCTAGCGATTGTGCAAAAGTTCTGCAGGACGGTGGCCAACTTCAACGAGGTGTACCGCGACGGACTCAAGGGCGCGGAAGCAGTACAGAAGAGGGACACCTTCAAGTCTCACCGCAAGCCGGCTCCGTCAGAGTACATTAATCCCAAGTGATGTACACGTTATTCTGTATTGTGGTGTTGAAGCGTACGTACGTAAGATGTCCATATGGGTGGTGTGTTGTTGTCAGTGGCGTTGTTTCAGTGCATGGTGTAATGTTTTGTTCCCCCTTTTCGTTGTCGGGTTTTCGATTATCTTGACGGGTTTTCTGTGTGCTACAGTATGTATTGCTGTGCGTATAACGTGCAGTAGTGGCAAAAGTGGGGAGTGCAACGTGTGTGGGTACCGTGGTGTCATTGTACAGAAGGGCCTCCGGTCGATTGAAGCAATCAAGCATACACGAGAAACAAGCCGGTGCGCATGGCCCAAACTTCCTGTCCCGCCCCAGGAAGGCGCCACATACACATACCAAGATGTTTTCTTTTTTTTTTCATGAGTATCTTCGTTCTTCTCTACTCAAGCCCCGCCGATACAATGAAAAAAAAAAGAGGTACAGGGTGTTTTGAGTTCGTGGTTGCCGAAATATTAGATCAAAATTTATCATCCCCCCCCCCCCGAAATGCCTTAAAAATCCTATACGAAAACCACAAAATTCCAGGAACGCCTCAAATCGATTTGGTCCCTGAACAACTCTTGTGGCAAATAGGATGTAGATCACTACTAAAAAAAAAAATTGAAAAAAGTGAAAAACTCGTGAAGTTATGGCCGGTCAACCAAAATCGGTCTCACACTTTCCGGCACTGTACCGGCACTATAAAGGCCCCTCGACTACTGTACACGTTCTTCGGGGCATCTCTCCGCACTCGCTCCGAGGAACAGACAAATACATGTACAGCAGTGAGTAGACTGCTGTGTTTAAAATAAACAAAATAACAACGAACGCTTATAGAACTGATGAAGCAGCTCTGTGGATAGAAGTGCTAAGTGTTGGGGGTATCAGCTTGCGTCAAAGGAAGAGTGTGGCGCCCTACCACGCCATACGAATGAGCAAGCTGTCGAAATTGCATGTAGCTTGTCAAGTGGGTGAGACAGCAGTATTCTGGAATAGCAGCAAAAAAAAGGGTTTACCCTCCACGTGACCTACACCTACACGAAGTATATGTATTCCGCCTCAGTATTGAAACCCGTCACACCTGAGAGCCCAGCATCGCTATGCGCTTCCGTCTAAGCTCTGCAGTATGCACTGCTGGCTCAGCAACTCTCTCGTCTCGCTTCTTCTTCCACGTGGTTCGCACCAAGATCGCCAGCGCTGCACCAACCAGCAGGACGCCAAGGACGCCCATGTCCAGAAACGTCCTCGCTAGTCCGTCGCCTGTAAGAGCTGCCATCGTTGTGCCCAGCGGCTTGAAAGCCTGGGTGTTGAACGAGCTCTCGTCTGCATGCATGATCACTGGTGTTGGAGTAGAGGCGTGTTCGAGAGGTCTCTCTCTGGGGCACCGCATCTCGCTTGGCTCTCTGCTGCAGCAGCAGCCCGATGAAATTTCGGGGATCGTTCCGAATGAAACCGTCATGAAATTTTATTCCGCCGCGCCGACCTCCGACGTGTCGGACGACGAAAGTGTGCGCGTCTTTCCTTCACTGTTCTGCCAACCCTCTGAGACCCAGCATCTCGAATCTTACCGTGCTCAGAGCAGGCAACAATTCGACCATGAGGAGACTACTCAACAGGTGCCGATGAAGAGAACGGGTTGTGCACTGTTGGATACAAGACGACATGTAGATGTGATCCATCGAAGAGTTTCTACAAAATCCTTGGCGAAAAGTGGACCAAACAAATGACTGGACAATAAAAAACACATGTTGTACGGTCGTGCGACCAGCGGGATACCCTCCTCAGTGGGATCCTTCGCATGAATCAGTTAGTGCCGGGACATCATTCAGGACGAAAAGGTCTAAGAAGGAAAGAACCACGACCACGACCACCACCATCAACACCACCATCAACAACAACTACAACGTACAACAGCGGAAGGAAGTGCTTCTTCGGTACTTGGTGCTACACTTACGAACTGTACTTGACTATTTGTGCTTGTTCTCGCAGCACGTGTGTTGACAACTCCCATTGGCATTCATGTGGAAGACGACAGTGCTGACTGACTGCGAACTTGCTCGACGATGCAGTGCCGTGTACCTTTGACCACCGAAACCTACACCAACGTCTGGAGACCAAGGTTTCGTACACACGAAGTACGAAACTAAATGTACCTTAAAGCAGCGTATTGTGCTGTGAAGAGCCGTTCTTCTCGCCTGCACCATACGCCTCATCACTGCAATATGCGGCACACATAAAGGCAAGCAAGCGGAGGGCCTACAAGCGGAGCTGACCCGGCTAGTCCCTTTTCTACCGACTCCGAGGACAACCAACGAGAACCTAAAGGAAGACCCAGGTGAACCACAGATAAACATAGGGAGATTTCGAGACCCTGGCCTCGACGTCATCACGATTGAACTTTTGGATCAGACGAAGCACAATCTAGTGCATCACGGCATTATTGCGGTATTTCTGGCTGGCATTTTGTGGCACCCCCAGAAAATATTATTTGACGCAGTGATTCTCACGTGCGATCGTCGTATCCAGTCTATTCGGGCAGAAGTTTCTTGTAGTATTAGTCTAGGGTGAGGAAAGCGTCGACGACAGGAACTAACTACCCTTTGTGTTCAGTCTCTCAAGCAAGGGTGTGGAGAACAAGTGTTTCTGACTACACTTCGTTGTGCCCATAAGACAAGCTGCTACGACAGCTACGTACGGTTGTTTGAATGCTTCCCCACTACATATAATCGACCGAACCATTTTGTATATTGTGTTGGCCTAGCGATAGAATGGCCTCTGACTCCACGGACGGGGAAGTGACGACGACGCTCTCTGCAGCTGATGGTCAACGCAATCGAAGAAGAGATGAACGGGGCAGGATGTCCCCGTCACTCCTCCAGCTGGCGAGGCAATGCTCGATACAGAAGGTGAAAGGCCGTGAGACGTACTGCTGTCGTACCTTGAGTGCATTGAAAAACGGGCAGAGACACGCGGTGGCGGCAACACCATCATGGTGCAACTGACTCTGCGAAGAGTTGGTCGCCGTGTGGGCCCATAGGGTGCCAATCAAAGTACATGTCTTGCCGACATCACCTTAAAGGTCCGGCTGAAAGCAGCGAACCACTCCACGACACTCGCAGAACTCTTGTTGTAGATGATCCAATACACACAGATATGCACAGAAGACGGTTCAGAAGCGATGGGCACAACCTTTGTCAAAAATCGCATGCAATCGGACGAACTTGCAGGTACCAGGAACGCCCGGCTCCCGGTCTGGAAGGAATTCTCCCACCAATATTCGGGAAGAGGTGGAACCGCAGGAAGAGGCATCAGCTGCGGCGTTGGGCGGCAGACGTTCCGTCAAGTCCTGGGAAACACTGCACAACGTCGGTCGGGGGATGGGCAGCGGCGATGACGGTGACGACGGCACATTGTTTCGTAGAGGGGCCGGCAGCTATGGAGTAGGGGAGGCCCAATTTGATGAAGAAGAGCCATTGCTCCGCGAAGAGGTGAGTTTCCTGATACCGAGAGAGCATGCAAACCTGTCATTCCTGTAGCCACTTCTTTGCAGAGAATAAGACCCTTCAAATGGAGAAAATATACTAAGAACGAGACAAACGACAGGGTGTCAAGAAGATATTATGTGGTACTGCGCCAATCGCTCGACAACTTGAGCATCTCCTGGTGCGGTAGAAGTGTGTGTCGCGGTTCGAAAGGAACCCACTGAGCCGGGTCGAAAGAATCCGGCAATTTCTGTCGAAGGACGCAGCGACGCAAAAAAGACAAGGGTAGCGATGGAATCCTACGCCCCCCATCACGTGCAAATATCTGTAGATTTTCCTGTTTCAAGTGGTGAAAACCTATAGAACGCCGTCCGACGGAAGAGAGGCGCCGCCCTTTCATGTTGTCCGGCGATAAGGTGGCGGACTACGTGGGAAGCATCGACTTCCGAGACGGCACGGGTCCGAGCGCGCTTCCCCCCAACGAGGTCGTGCGAGCGTTTCGGGACGCCAACGAGATCGCGCTGTTGGGCAGGGGCGGGGAGTTCTGGTCGCGTCTAATGGGGGATGGCCATAGCAGGGACCAGCGCCACCACTCGGTTGGGAGGGGGGACGGCAGAGCGGGATCAAGGGGGGTGGGGAGAGAATCGCGTGGTGGCGGTGCCAACGGGAGGCGAAGACGGGTTGTTCACGTCGAATCCGCGACCACCGGCAAGTTTTTCAAGGTGAGCCTCCTCATACACACGCCGTTCTTGCTTCCCATGAGAGATGTATCAATATGGAAACGCTACGAAGTAGCTCTTGGTACAAAGCGGGGGGAGAGCTGACCACAACATCGCTGCACAACAGCAAAGCAAAAATAGCACCGTTGTTCGTCGGCGCTGCTACAGCTGAGGAATCGATACCTCTTCCTGTAAGAGGTAGACTATATAACGGCCTGCTGATCAATGAAAGAAGGCTTGAAAAATTCGGTACCTCCCCCCTCCTCATCGATGTCCCATGTGCGTGCAGGAAGTCGCTCTAAAAGCACTGCAGGCATGTGAATCGTGCTAAAAAATCCCTTATCGCACCCATCCAGGTCTACGAAGGACTGGGCAGGTCGAGAGGAGGCGGCGAAGCATGGAGCACGAGCGTCCGCCACCCGGGTCGTGGGGACGGAACCGGTGAAGACGGCCTTAAAAAGGGAGGGCGCGAGGGCCGCGGGGCGGGTAGCGGGGGCGGCGGTGCTGGAAGCTTTGCGGAGGATGAGGTTCGGGCGGCCGAGCGGCTCGGAATACCCGTCCGAGAGGTGGGGTTCGTGATACAAAGGGGGGCTCGTTTCGAACTCCTGCATACGTGGTGACAATTGGTTGGCGTCCGTGAAACGGCGCGTGTTTGGTGCAGCGCTTTGATATGCCGTCCGTGAGGGGGAACTGCGTATGTCACTTGCTGGCGACCCGAAGACCGATGACTTTCCTTGCGAGAGTTGTCAAAGAAACCGTAGCTCGCCTCAGGTATCTCCCGCCCCACCCGCGCGAGCCGCGAAGGTCTCTGCGTGGCGATGGTGTCTCGCATCTGGTGTCCATTCACACTCCGTTAATTCATCCAACCTCTTCTGGTTATGACCTGTGGTCGTCGTCCGAAGGTGTTGCTAATGAGACTCAACAAAGGCGTGGAGGCAGGAACTTTGCTCGTCCAGGGTGTCTTAGCGGGCCTGACGTTGGCGTCAGCGTACGCGATGCTGTTGGCCGAGAGCCTCGAGAGCTTTGTCGCCGCATATGAGGTGCGGATGAGCAAGGATGCCTGCCTGCCGATTCTGGTTCTGTATTAACTCCCGTACACGTGGGGGATTGACACTTTGGTCGTGATGCGCTGTCAACCAAACATACATGAGGAAAGAAGAACATCGCAGCATTCATCAACCTCGATAGTCCTTTTCTTGCTGAGAAGGCACAGAAGCCCGTTTTCCCTAAATTTCCGACGGTGGGCTTCTGCCAACGAGCCGAGGTAGAGCGTCGCGGGGGTTCCAGATGTCTTGACTACCAATGACCGTAAGATCATCTCTTCAAAACACGACCAGATCAAGGCGTGCCCCAATTTTGAAGCCGACGTCGCGTGGGCGCACCTTCTTGTGGTCCCACAGGCACAAGCAGGAGAGATTCGACGCGCCATGTTTTTCCTTTGCACGCTGGCCCTCATGGGTACCGAGGACCAGCTAATGCAGGCGAAGGGAAAGGGGGAGGTCTGGGCAGGACTCGGGTGGTGGGACAGGCTTGATTTGCAGGTTAGTACCGGCTGCAGGTGTATTTATTTTCTTTTTACGGACGGGCATGTGCTTGGGGCATGTTATAGAGGTGCCGTCATCCATCGCACATACGCAAGCTCTGTCTTCGCCTCTATGAAAGAGTTCTTCGTGCAGAACGTATTCGTCTATTTCTGTCGAGCGGGGTAGCCCCTGGCTGCCATGTGCATATCGCCTTGTCACCACCCACCCTCGAACTCGGTAGTACGTTGTACCAAAGCACGATGTTTCTGTTAACGCTCGAACATGGAATGGCGTTTTATGTCATTTGGTAGAACTAGTAATCCGCATCTCAACGACGTGTCACTGCCCTCTAACAATTCTTTCCATTACCAGCCGTACCCTTACTCTGTAGAAAAATTTCTTCAACCAGGAGCATATGTCTCTTGTACGTCGTTGGTGTTGTCGGTCCGCCCGTTCTCCATGTCCGTCGCCCCCCCGGAAACGTCAACAACGTCCTTCTGACGGGCACCCTAACCTACGTCTCCCGAGCGACACCTCCCAACAATAGTTTGCCCTAAATTCGTGACCTGGGCCTGCTCCGGTCGGGTCCCGTATGCCTTGGCAGGCGATTCCACGCGACGCCACCACCACAATCGAAACGTTCTTTGTGTCGAAAGGCAAACAGTCAGCTGCCAAGGAGGGAGCACCTTTCTCTACGAAATTTTTCTATTTAGCGCTAGCTTCCAGCATAGGCAGGCAGTGCCAAACTACATTGTTTTTTGTTGTTTTTTTCCCATCATTCGATTCTGTCGTCTGCCCCTCTGGCCCCTCCTCCACTTCAACCAGCTAGACGACCCAACCGGGGTCACATCGGAGAGGGGGGTTGGACCCCCTCCAGCGGTTCCTGCCTGAGATATTTTTATCGCGAGAAGGGTACAGCAATCCCTTCCCTCGCGACTTATGAAGTCGGTCAAGTTTACTCACAACAAGCTTTGCAGCGCGTCGCTTCCAACAGACCAGGATTTGATTAGCGAGCAAAAACTCACTCTGCCGGAAGTCGAACCCATGACCTGGCCCTTAGAAGTCTGAGGCTACCCACCAGACCACCGGGGCGACCGGTGTAGAGTCGTCGCATTGCTGATTCTAAGAGCACCCCCGATCGATCTGCTCCCAGGGCTGCGTCCTCTTGTACGGAGGATGCCTTGTGAGCTCGCTCGTGTGCGCGGTTGCCGACACCGGAATCGCAAACGCCTACGGGTCCTCGGCCGAAGGATGGTACGTCAGCGAGATGGAAGACGGGCTTCGACCAACGGTGGGTACCTGCAATAACACAAGACATGTTCGTTCGATGCAAGATCGCGTGGAGGCGGTGATGTTGCGTACCTGTCGTTCCGGAGTTTTCGAGTAATCTGTACTGCAGCCGAAGTGGACAATACCTGTGCTGACCACCCTGCATGCAATACACATGTCGCAATGGTCCACATAGTGCGCATGTTATTCAATCTGTGGTCGTCTACCCCGCTCAGGTCCTGTTGTGGTACGCCTGCAACTTGGCGAGATTATTGCTCGCTTGGATTGGGTGGTTTCTGGTTTGCAGAAGGCGCTGGCGAGCATCCTTGCTCAGCGACCAGTCGCAAATCGAACTGAAAGGTGTGTTTGGGCATGCGGGGCAGGGAGTGGGGTTTTCAGCGTCATATCACATCATGCAGCTGGTTCACCCTGTGTCAAGCGCGGCGTAGCGTCCTTGGCCGCGGTTCTGGGCGGCCCCTCTCTCAACCCGCACGACATAGCCCTCCTTGGAACACGCACACGGGGAGCTGTTATGGTATTTACACGTTGGTTCTTTGTTGTTCGACACCGCAACCGTATGACGTACAGAGAAGGTCCACCAATAACGAAGAGATTAATGAACGAGGCGTACCGTCCCCACAGGCGCCGAAAGGGGGGGCTGTAGTACCATTTTGTCCTTTCTCAAGGGGTTTTGGTGTTCCTCAGGTACACCAGGTCTGGAACACATCATGTCGGAACACCAATCATGGTATGCTTTCCACCTCTAGATACAGCAGCAATGGGGCCCGTGGGTGTCACATCCAGTCGTAAGCAGGACTTCCATCTGAAAATAATGTGCTGTCGACGACGCCATGAAATGTCATGGAGGACACAGAAGAAAATGGGGGAGGGAGCAGGTCCACTGCTCCTTGCTTTGAGTTGCTCACAACGTGTTGTTTATTCTCGTTGTATCCTTTTGAGACCAGGTCCACGCACTCTGGGCTACGTGGAGAGTGCCAGGACGGGGCTGAAGTTTTGCTCCCCCCTTCAAGTACTTCAATACCGACGGCATTTATTTTACCTTCAGACAAAAAATTATCTGTAGCGCTCACTGGCTATCATGCAGTGCTCGTTCAACGTTCACAAAGCGCTCAAATGACGTAAAACCCTAGCGAATAGTTGCCCCTTTGCACTCATTCCCTTCCTCTTGTAATAGTATTCTCAAGTCGCTCCGAGGGTGCGTTTCTTGCCCCCGTGGCAAAGTTGCATCGTTTTTGCTCAATGCCCCGGATCGGGTATCGATGGAAACATCCGGCCAGGGGACCGAATCAGGGATAATGTCAGCAACCAATTAACCGCACGTGGTAGTCTACCCCGCTTCTGAGTTTCTTAATGATGTGTGGTACATGTAGTCATGACACAAGCAAGCGGCACTGCTGATGATGATGCAGAGGCTCTCCCCAAGACGAGAGATCTCCATTGCGTCATCTGCTACTACACAACTCGTTCCTTCCCGGCTCGATGTGTGGTGCAATGGTCGCAGGTCAACGCGACAAGCTTTCTGCCGCTGAAGAACAGATATCGCGCCTCAACGGGAGGAATTTAGACCCTTTAACGACGAAGGAGTTGCAAGACTTGAGGGGTTTGCTCAAGAGGGCCCTCGACAACGCGGAGCGTATGATCGGCTTGCGGTAGAAACAAACGTGGAATCAGTGCGGGGTCGTTACTCCTTAGCAGTTGAGCGAAAAAAATACTCCCGGTGTTCCTATGACCTTTGCCAGGAGTAAAGTTCTCGCTCGTTGTTGCTGCGGCTACGCTGCGGACAGAACGGAAGCTGTTGCGATTTTCGTCTATTCGTTGGCTTTATTCGATATACTCGTAGCATAGTATGATGGTTGAGATGTTATGTACGTACGTACGAATATTGCAGTGATGAGATGCGGATGAACNCTACACTCCCATCGCACACAACTGAGCCACCCGAATTATCGATCAGGCTTCACCGCCGAAGTAATTTGCCCTCTGAAGAACCGCGGCCACCTCTCGACGCCGCACTGCAACATCTACACCTACCTATCTGATTTTCTGACCGCCACGCGGTTCTTTCGGTGTACCAGAGTAGTTCGGGATAAACTGCAGCATATTGAGGTGCTAATTAAGAAGTCGAGAAGAGGGCGTAAACCATAATCGACTTCGTAAGTCGCGAGGGAAGGGATTGCTGTACCCTTCTCGCGATAGAAATACCTCAGGCAGGAACCGCTGGAGGGGGTCCAACCCCCCCCTCCTATGTGACCCCGGTTGGGTCGTCTAGCTAGTAGAAGTGGAGGATAGGGGCCAGAGGGGGAGACGACAGAGTCCAATGATGGGAGAAAAACAAACAAACTATTGGGTAGCCTCGCAGCCTGCTAAGGGCCAGGTCGTGGGTTCAAGTCCCGACAGAGTGAGTTTTTGCTCGCTAATCAAATCCTGGTCTCCGTTGGAAGTGACGCGCTGCAAAGCTCGTTGTGAGTAAACTTGACCGACTTCATAAGTCGCGAGGGAAGGGATTGCTGTACCCTTCTCGCGATAAAAATACCTCAGGCATGAACCGCAGGAGGGGGTCCAACCCCCCCCTCCTATGTGACCCCGGTTGGGTCGTCTAGCTAGTAGAAGTGGAGGATAGGGGCCAGAGGGGCAGACGACAGAGTCCAATGATGGGAGAAAAACAAACAAACAAACTATTGGGTAGCCTCGCAGCCTGCTAAGGGCCAGGTCGTGGGTTCAAGTCCCGACAGAGTGAGTTTTTGCTCGCTAATCAAATCCTGGTCTCCGTTGGAAGCCACGCTGCAAAGCTCGTTGTTAGTAAACTTGACCGACTTCATAAGTCGCGAGGGAAGGGATTGCTGTACCCTTCTCGCGATAAAAATATCTCAGGCAGGAACCGCTGGAGGGGGTCCAACCCCCCCCTCTCCGATGTGACCCCGGTTGGGTCGTCTAGCTAGTAGAAGTGGAGGATAGGGGCCAGAGGGGCAGACGACAGAGTCGAATGAGGCGAAAAAAAAAAAAGAACGGTGCCGTTGGTGCAGGGCACACACGACACACATCATTTCTACAACATACATCCTCTACTCGCGCGTCCTCATCCCACGTCCCTGTCTTCATCGTACACGGCGGCCCCTACGCCCATGGACTATCACCAGCACCGACAAGGGGGCGGTAAACTCAACCCACAAGCGCCTTCTTCGGGGGACCATGCCTCGATTGTGTCTTCAATCGCTCCGTTTGATGTGGGTGACAAAATCGAACCTGACTACTTTTGTTGCGGAACTGCTGTAGCCGGGGGTCGTAGTGGCGGCAGAGGTCGCAGCGGCGATACATTGGACCACCTAGCTGTGCTTGACCAGCAAGTCCTCTCTTTGTGCCGTGTGTCCACAGACTGTGAGCTCGGGTGGCAGCAGCAGCACCACCAGCAGCAACACCAGGAGAAGCCTGGACGAGTCCGAGGTGCTTTGCTGCATTAACGAATACCGCAGGGAGCACGGAGCCCCGATGCTGAGGTGGAGCTCGGCGTGCGCCCGCGAAGCTCAGCGGCGAGCCAGCCACGAGTCCGGGCCGAGCGCCGAGTATGGCGAGAATCTTGCCAGGAGCACGGATCATAGCTGGAGAGATCCAACGATAGCTTGTATCGGCTCCATCCACCGGTGGCAGGTACGTCGTGCTGCTGAACGCCGCAGAAAATTCTGGGAGATCACGCACACCGGTCCTCGCGTCTCTCACCCATGCATGTGCAAGAAACCCCGAACGAACCCCGTGTTCCACTCGGAACATAGAAGCTGGTATATATACAGGTACGTGGGTATGTGCAAATAATGCATGCATTGAGCTTGGGTCCGACTTTTGCCGGGGGCAATACCAGGGTGGGAAAAGTGTTCGGGGCTTCGGGGCGGCGCCGAATTTCGCAGAAAATGGCGCAGCGCCGAAATTTTTTTGGGTACAAGCAGCTTCAATTATTTCGGGGCAAAGCCGCTACAACGCAGTTAGGCCGGCCGCCCAGGAAAATACGTAAGTCTACAGATGGCGCCCGCACTTAAGAACCGCTTGTATTGGCCAAGGCTCGATGCTTATTGGCTGCCTCAAATTGAGCACCTGT